GGGCAACTTCACCAGCTGGGCCAGAATGGCACAGAGGCTGTGAGAGGCCAGGTAGCATGGGAGTGGGTTGATGACATGTGTGGAAGGGGACAGGAAGGGTTGTGATCTTGGAAACAGGCAGCAGGGTGAAGGGGAGGCACAAACAAGGTGGGGAAAGTGAGGAGGGGGCTGTCAAGGTGCAAGAAGGTGAGTTGGCATTCAAGTGTAGATTCCCAAAGCAATTTTAATGACCAGAAATACATGAAATTAATTTAAGTCAAAGTGAATGTGTGTACCAAGTTAAATATCGTGTGACTTCACATCAATGTAAAAAATGCTGGACCTGGAATAGATGCAAATCAGCAGTGTAACCAAGCCCTTACAGAAACACAGGCTCCAGAAACATAATATGCACAAATTTAGAACATGGAGTGTTGTAAAAGTTTGGCCATAAATTGTTCAAAGAAAGAAATGGCAGCAGAAAATGTGAGGCAGGATGTAATAAGAAATTGTAACAGGGTTCCAAGAAGCTCTGAAGTTCACTGTTAAAGTTAAGTATAAGAACAGTTAGCAAATTAGATGTTTTCAAGGTTCAACATAATTAATGCTTCAATATTCATTCATTCATTCATTCATTCATTCATTCATTCATTCATTGTGCTTTTCGTCCAAGAGCCCAAGCTAATAGACTTTGTCTTCCATCACATTTAATCCTTAGAATAATTATCTGAAAGAGGTTAGGATGAGGGCGAAACTGGACAATGCAGTTAACATGTTCTTAGAAGCACAGTTTCCTTAAGAAGAAGAAAAAATGGCAATTTATTGTACAATGAGCTTGCAAAAGGAGTGAATGGCCCATGGTCATCTGCTGAGCTTCATAACCATGTGCGGTTTGAACCCAGTAGCTATTGGTGAATTTTGGTTATTCTTTTTAGTCTTCAGAGTATGAGATAGAAAAAACAACAGCAGCACAGAAAATGTGGAGAGATCAGCTGAGTCCAAGCCCCTGCCCACCCCTTTGGTTTCTTTTTCACATGAACTAGCACTTTGCCTGATAAAAGTACTCTGGAGTCATATAAAGTAGCAAAGGGTCCCTTTACTTACAGTTATCATTTTGCAGCCAGAGTCAGGAGAATAAAAAGAGGGGGCAATGGAGTTTCCACCATGTGGCAATGGAATTTCCACCATGGTTGTTACTTGGTTGGAGATCAGAGAGAGAAGAGGACTATCAATCACACAGACAATGGAAGCAAGTGAACAAACCAGAAAAGAGGGTGGCACAAGGTGGGGGTTTGCCTCAAATGCCAGAGGTAGCAAAAGAACTTTATCAATCACATTAGTGGCAAAGGACAGTCATATTGGGCTGAAAAAGCCCACAGTGTTACTGCATACGAAATTGTTCTTATTTCAACAGTAACCCTAATTCAGTACCCCATCTTCTATGCTACACTGGCCTGACTTTAATAACTAATGCTTTAGATTTCATCAGGGGAAAAAAAGTTGTGGAGCTGATGTCTGTGAAGTTTGTCACACCTGTAACACACAAAGATCTGAAAAAGGGTCTATAAGCATGCTAGAATGAAGGCAGTATTGGAAATCCATGATTTCTGATTGTGTTTATGAGTATACCCTCCTCACTTCATCCATTTAAGCACATTTTATACTTTCATTTCGAAAATCACAGAAGGTGATTTAAAATAAAAACAGGTATAACAAAACCCATTGTTCATTTGTTTAAAGTCTTACTTGATATCATTCACTAAACAGGAGGGAAACAAAGGGAGTGCATTTGTTTTTCTCTCTTTTAAAAAACAATGGGCCTGCTTGTTGCTACATCTTTTCCTCAAAAGATGGGGCTCCAGATGAATATTGATATACAAGGCATTAATACCCAATCTGAAAAGTCTGAAGTTGAGATCTGGGTAAGACAACCCACCTTGTTTATAGAATAGGAAATAAATATTATTTTTTCTCAAACACACAAAAGGAAACATGGAGGGTACTGTTTCCATATTTATCAGAAATCTGAAATTCAGCACATACATCACCCCAAGCACTCCAATTGTTATAAAAGTTTTGAAAATGTAAAAACCAAGGGCAAAACGTTTAGCTTACCTCAGGGAGGAGTACACTAGCACAGAGGAAGTCAAGTTGTACCTTGCAGGAAGGTGTAGAACATGGGAGTTGTCACTGTCTCTTTGCACACTCAAATTAGCTTTGGGAGGATCTTAAAAAACTAGCAAGAGGAGGCAGCCATGCTTGCAGAATTAAATCTGAATTTACTGGTGTGTAATAAGAATGTCAAAATATTCTAAGCTTGGAGTCGTTTATTGCTACTGGAGAATGTTGCTGTATCTCTGATACATAAAGGTACAGTCTGGCTAAGGAAGCATAGCCAGGACAAAACGTTTATACAAATTCAAATAAAAATCTTCCTTTGATTAAGAAATGGATTAAATTGTAAGCAAGGACTATACCACATCCTTCATGTTCTTGGCTTGTTTTTGGAAGATTTCATAACTTCTTACAGAATTCACTGTAGCCTTGCATTGTTTTTGTTAGCTGGGAACCAAAGCTTGCAGTCATATAGTCTGCATAATTTTCTACATGAAAAGAAATCAAAAAGGACAACAGTGTTTTGATTATTTCATGCTCAACCAGTTGAATTTTAAATTTTAGTCCACACAGTGGGGGAAAAAACAATTCAGGTGAAAATAAAGACGTTACAGTTGAAGGTATAGCAGGCAAAAACAGAAGAAATGTTTTTAAAAAAGACAAAAGCATTTTGACACCTTAAAGATTATTATATTTTAATGTCTGCTTTTGTGGACCTTCTTAGCCCACTTCTTCAGTTATATGAGATGGAAAACAAAGATTAACACCATAAAACGTTCATGCTGGACTTTTAAGAGTCTGTGGTGTCTGGCTGCATTTCACATGTGCCATAATTTGTTGCTTCTGTTTGGTATTCAGTTCTGTAAGCATTCGAGCAACATTTGACCAGGCAGCCTCTTTGCTTTTTACCCATTGTTTTCACAGATCAGATCCAAGGTTTTAGTGCTCACGTATATAGTAAATAAAGCCTTCCACGGCTTGAAACCACACTACTTGCCAGAGTGTCTCTCCCCAATGTTATCTTCCCAACCGACCAAATCCTCTAAGGCTATGGTCCTCTGGGTTGTCTGAAGGAGGCCCAAAAGTCCTCTACAAGGAGGACGAGTCAGGCCTTCTTTGTGGTGGCCCTGAATCTGTGGATTCAGCTCCTTGTGGAGCAATGCTTAGCTTCCTCCCTATTAACTTTCAGAATGCAGCTTAAAACACTGCTTTTTAGGGAGGTCTTGCTGTTTGACCTTGCTTGATGTTATGCTTCTTGCCCTGCTCTTGTAGCGATAAGGTGCTTTAGTCTTGTTGCTTTTAGTGTTTTGATTGTTTTAACTTGCTCACTGTTTAGTCATATGTTTATTGATATCTTTATGTTTACTTTATGATGTTGTGAACTGCCCAATATAGTGCATTGCGCTAATGGGGCAGTAAATCAATAAATCCTCCCTTCTGTGGTGTGCCCTAAGTATGACAGCTTCAGGTTCAATATTTTTTTGCCTCCAGAGATAGTTCAGGCTTGAGTTGATCTAGAGCCCACTTATTTGTCCTTCTGAGAGTCGGGGGTATCTGCAAATCTCTCCTCCAGCACCATATATCAAATGAATCATTTTTTTTCCCCGTCAGCTTTCTTAATGGTCCAGCTTTCACACCCGGACATGTTCATTGGAAGTACAAGAGTGTGGATGATCTTGGATGAGCATTACCAATTAAGAAAGCTGCTGGGAGATGAAGCCAACATCTAGAGAGCCACTCTTTGTGTTAAAGATAGTACACAGGAACTGTGGGAAGGATGAATTAATCATTGTAGCCTTCTGTTTTTCATTTTGCCACACTAGAATCCCTTTGCCTACTTACACTTAATCCAAAGCAGAGTTTTACAGTAGGATAATATAAGGTGTTAACACTTATCAGTTCTGCAAGATTGTTGTAAGGAAATTCCTTCACATAATTGTTTATGTTCTTGTGATGTCCATGAAATTGAAACAATCTCTCATGTTGTTCATCTTTGCTAATTGTATGATGACTCAGCTGAGTCAGCCAAAACAGAGGAGATGGAAAGCTTCATAATTAGAAACATAGAAGACTGATATAATAATATATATGTGACTGTGCTCTAATATTTTTCATAGCGTTGCAAGTTGCACCTTCATTTGTTTTTGTTCAATGGTTGGTAACAGGGAGGAAACAATGGAATCTGTTTACACACTTATTTTGCAAACAAAGCAGCTTTGAAGATGTCTCCCATTCTATATAATGTATTACTAATAGTTACGTATTGTGTGCCATCAAGTTGATTCCACTGCATGGTGACCCTTCTCAGGGGTTTCTTAGAATAAAGTGCTCAGAAGTGATTTACCAACAACTTCATCTGGGGATTCTTTGGATCCATGTAACTTGCCCAAGGTCACACTAGCTGATTTTTCTCATGGGAAACGTACTGGGGAATCAAATGTCTTCCCTTGATTTTCCAGCCCTGTGCTCCAACTCAGTGAGCTATGCAGCTAGCATGTTACCGCCAAATGGTGATGCTCCCTGTCTCACCTGTTTTGACCTTTGGGAAGAAAGCCCTCTCACCTTTTAAAAGCTGCTGTCAGGTAGTTCATCTCAGTAGTTGACAGTAGATTTTCTTCAGGAGAGAAATTTCTCTGTCACAACTATGGCAACGTTCTTATATTGCACAATTAAAGTAAGAGTCCAAATGTTATCTAGACTATTATTCTGATCTGTAATCAATTGTTTTATTACACACCAATACTATTTTATACATAGATTGTATGGGTTTCTGAATAACTCAGTAACCAAGTCTTCAATCCATCATGATTCATAATGAAATCTTTTGCATATATCCATCTGGTGTGTGGCCGATAATTCATTTAACTAGGCTAACACTTAAACTCTGCATTTTTATTTTCTTTCAGTGTACATCTGAACAAAATGACCACATTCAATGTAGGAAAACCATCCCCTAACAAAAATGGTAATGTTGTTGCTCTTTTTAATTTGCTTCTGATTAGTTAGTTGGGAGAAGGTTGGGGAAATAATCTTTTAATCAAAAAACAAAGCAGAAAGTGAAACAGACTGACAAATGCTTTTTCGATATTTACATAAATTATGTGTAAACAGGATTTCACATTTAGTGACATACTAATTAATTTTGTTTGCTTATTGATAAAGCTATGGAGGCCCATTGTGGAGAAAGATGGACAGCAATGCTATTTAACTGGCAGCCTGGTCTTCATGCCCATTTGGGACGGCTGCTGCTATATTGTTGCTTGCTTTGACACAGGTGGATCAGGATATAATCTGGGTGGAGAGTAAGTCCTGTTAAACATAATTGGACTTAGCTTAGTAAACATGCATTTCATGACAATGTCAGTATCTCTCATTCAGCATCCAGAACCCCTACTCACATAAATGAAGGAAGGAAGGAAGGAAGGAAGGAAGGAAGGAAGGAAGGAAGGAAGGAGGGAAGAAAGAGAGAGTGGCCTGGGTTGCCAGATGGGCGGTATACAAATCAGATAAAAGAAAAAAAGAAAGAAGTGTCCCACCCCAAAATAACAGGAAAAGGAAATCAGTTATCTTATATTGAGCTTCTTGGCGACAGCAAAATACTTTGGTGCAAAATTTTGCATTTAATGCAAAATGAAAAAAGGGAGAAATTCTCAAGAAGCTTCAAAGACTATGACTTACATATCTAAACACACACACTGGGGTGCAATACTGGGCATACCCACATGGAAAGAATATAGGTGTCTCTCTGACCTTACATCTGAGACACACACACACATCAGATTGTGCTGTTGTGACAGAAGACAATGAAGAAAGATATTTATTGAAAATTGTATATATAGATTTTAAATGATGCATTGCAGTGATAGTATCACTATGCCCAGAATTCTGTTGCAATTTTATTCTTAGTAAACAAAACTGCTTATGTTTTGATGGTGAATTGTAGCTAATTAGCAAGGTGCTGGTTCCATGCCTGTTTGCAGAATTGGCAAGCAGACAGGCATACAACTGGCACCTTGTCAATTAGCTGTAATTTGCTGCCTGGAGTAAAAATGCCAATAGAATTCTGACCATTGTGAATTGAGATGTTGCATTTTCAAAGCTGTAATGAAAAATGTTGAGGATCATCTTATCCAACCATCCTTACAAGGAGACCAAGGCAGAATATGTGGTTGCTTTTATCCCTTGCATCACACCACACCCCATTTTCTCCTCAAGACAACAGAGGTAGGTTGAACAGACAAGGTCAAGTAAACTGCATTGATGGGGATTTGAACAAGGATTTCTCCCCTTCTTGTTCAACAACTTAAATTCAACAGTCTCCTGCAGTTTGTTTACCTCACCATCAGCACCTTTTTGAGAAAAGTAATTTTTTAAAATAAAAGTGTCAGAGCAGAAATGCTAACATCCTCCCGATTGCAGTAGCTGTAGTCTAAGAGTGACAGAATCTGGATCTACTTCAGTGACAAGTAAAAAGTTCCATTATGGACAGTAATCACTAGTGACTCCAGCAAACATGATATAACTCATGTAGAATTACTACTTTTAGCTTACATTGTATTCAGTCTTTCCTCTCTATAATTACTTAACTGGATCGTGGCCACAGGTTTTTTTCCCTTCTATATATGAGCTAAAATGAGTTCTACCTTCACAATATGGGCTTATTATCTCCAACTTACTTTTTATTGGGGTTTTACAATATGAGAAAAATAGAAACGGGACAGTACGTATGAAACAGCCAAAGTTCTGTAATTAGACCACAATCAATATTTCAGAGTACACCCTGTCTCTAATTATGATAATAACATACACATTAGAAAACAAAAACAGATAGTATTTCTGTCTTTTATTGGCTAGCTGTCAAATCCATCACGTCTAATGTATAGCTTTATATATTACACTTTATATACTTTTATATCTATCTATCTATCTATCTATCTATCTATCTATCTATCTATCTATCTATCTATCTATCTATCTATCTATCTATCTATCTATCTATCTATCTATCTATCTATCTATCTATCTATCATCTATCTATCTATCTATCTATCTATCTATGCTTATTTATTGGATTTCTATCCCACCCATCTATACCAAAGGTCTACTCTGGGCAGTTAGTAGGGTGGGAAATAATTAACTGATGTGCAGCCCACACCAGGCCATTTTACAGCCTTTGCTGCCCCTTATTTATTATTTTATTTATTTATTTGATTTGTACCCCGCCTATCTGGTCTACTCGACCACTCTAGGCAGCTATTTCTCACCACTGCCAACAAAACATATTGCCAAAAATCATCATCACTACCACCACCACAGGAAAAGCAACAGTGACTAAACCCCACTTTTCTTCACAATTCTGGAAAGTAGGAAGGAAACCACTCTGCCCTGCATCCTGTCAGGGCTCTATGATGCTGAAGGGTGAGCTGGCACCCTGCTGCACCATGGAGAGGGTTTGCTATGGCCATTAAGCTTGGGCAAGTATTAGCAATAGAACTGATGGCTACTGTTGAATTTGGACAGGAGCATTTATGTCTCCCAGTCAGTTCTGAGTGGTCCAACATTCTTGATCCTCAGTCATGGGCTGTAGTAGTGGCTCACATATTTAGTTGTTAGGTAGGTGGTTTGGGGTGCATTGACACATTTGTGCTTGCATAGGAAAGCATGGCTATGAATTTCAGCACCACATATTAAAGAAAATTCACAGAATCTTTTTTTCAGATATGGGTTTCTTATGAAGGTGAGTGTTTTTGCTTTTCTTGGAGTCTGTGGCTTGCTTATTACTAAAAAGTGGTGGCAGATCTGTGGTCAGTTAATGCTATTTCAGACTGCAACACATTAAAAAACCTCTAGTACATCAGGAAGAAGGTGAAGCTAGACCTATTTCAATTGATACTTAGCTTTCTAGGCACATGTATATATGTATGCATTTGTTGTTGTTTAGTCATTTAGTCGTGTCTGACTCTTTGTGACCCCATCGACCAGAGCACGCCAGGCCCTCCTGTCTTCCACTGCCTCCCAGAGTTGGGTCAAATCCATGTTGGTAGCTTTGATTCCACTGTCCAACCATCTCATCCTCTGTCCCCCCCTTCTCCTCTTGCCTGCACACTTTCCTAACATCAGGGTCTTTTCCAGGGAGTCTTCTCTTCTCATGAGATGGCCAAAATTTTGGAGCTTCGGCTTCAGGATCTGTCCTTCCAGTGAGCACCCAGGGTTGATTTCCTTTAGAATTGATAGGTTTGTTCTCTTTGCAGTCCAGGGGACTCTCAAGAGTCTCGTCCACCACCACAATTCAAAAGCATCAATTCTTCAGCGGTCAGCTTTCTTTATAGTCCAGCTCTCACTTCCATACATTGCTACAGGAAAAATCATAGCTTTGACTATGCAGATCTTTGTCGGCATGGTGATGTCTCTCCTTTTCGAGATGCTGTCTAGGTTTGTCATCACTTTCCTCCCAAGAAGCAGGCATCTTTTAATGCCATGGCTGTTGTCACAATCTGCAGTGATCATGGAGCCCAAGAAAATAAAATCTGTCACTGCCTCCATATCTTCCCCTTCTATTTGCCAGGAGGTGATGGGACCAGTGGCCATGATCTTAGGGTTTTTTTGTTTGTTTTTTATGTTGAGTTTCAGACCATTTTTTGCACTCTCCTCTTTCACCCTCATTAAGAGGTTCTTTAATTCCTCCTCACTTTCTGCCATCAGAGTGGTATCATCTGCATATCGGAAGTTGTTGATGGATAAATTAATGAATGGATTGATGCATTTGGAGGAGAAATATTTCATCATAATAGATCTGTCCTGCAGTTTCAAATTTAGGGCCCAGACACAGGCTTGCACCTCTACGTGACCTGTGTCTGCCTCTGTATACTCTAAATCAGGGCTGAGGAATGCATGGCCTTGACACACATCGCTGGACTGTCACTCCCAACAACCTTTGCCACAGGCTATGTTGCTTAGGAGAGGTGAGAGTTGCAGCTCAACAACATTCCCCAGCCTGGGCCCTAGAGATGAACTGGCATCTTGGAGCAGGAGATTGCCCTGCCAACAGGCTCAGAGGCTGCAAAATGTGTGCAGTAAACATTTACTTGCAAAAGTAAGCAAGCCTCAATGAACTCAGTCAAGCTTACTTCCCAGTAGACAGGGCTGCACCATAAGTAGAAGAACTCGTAGCAATTTAGAGTAGATAATTGTATGTCAAGCAGGCATTTGTTCACTACCTTGACTTCTATGCTGAGGTTCACCTGGGGAGAGGAATTTATCTCTTTCTCATGCTCACACCCCTCTTAGTTGCATGTGAACACATGCCTGGTCCAAAAATAATTCTACAGGCTAAACCTAATTACTATTATAGATCAAGCCTTTGTTGAATCTGTAAAATGAAAGGTGCTGTACCTCCTTAGAGGGCCGGGCCTCAGGTTATCTAAGGATGTGGGAAATACAGCCTTCCAGATGTGATTAACCTGCAACTTGCAGTATTCCTCATATAAGGTATAATGAGATAATTGACCACAGGATTTTAACAGGAGTGGCCTGTACTTGAGATCCCACAAGGCTAAGGAATTGTAGGAGCGGATGTCCACTATATCTGGGGGACTCTGATGATGGGGAATTGACATCTACTGCCAGTAAGGTGTGACCTGACCTGAGCTCGAAATGTTATGATTCCTTTTTAACTTCCCATTGCAATGCATATTTCAGTTTTTGTTTTAAAACTAGCACTGGATGCCAGCTTGTACTTATCTATTTAGCCCTTGGGTCTGCACCAAGGACCAGATTCAATGAATAGGTAAAGGTAAAGGTTCTCTTTGACATTTAGTCCAGTCGTGTCCGATTCTAGGGGGCAGTGCTCATCTCCATCTCCAAGCTGTAGAGCCAGCGTTTGTCCATAGACAGTTTCTGTGGCCACGTGGCCAGCGTGACTAGACACGGAATGCTTTTAACTTCCCACTGTGGTGGTACCTATTTATCTACTTGCATTTGCATGCTTTCAAACTGCTAGGTTGGCAGGAGCTGGGACAAGCGATGGGAGCTCACTCCGTCACCTGGATTCGATCTTACGACTGCTTTATCTTCTGGCCTTGCAGCACAGAGGCTTCTGTGGTTTAACCCACAGTGACACCACATCCCAGATTCAATGTTTAGGAGAATGTTTATTATTCAGTTTTTACTTGAGCTCCCCAATTTCAGTGTCTGAGTAACTGTCTTCCCTTAACACACACAACAGTAGCCCAATACACAATGCCTTGCCATGAAATTGGCTTGGTTGAGGATGCTCTACATCCTTTGTTGTTACTCAGAATCTTCTTAGAGAGGTAGCAGGTTCTTGTCTCAGTAGGCATTGGCAAGGGCATGCCATTGGGTGCACAGGTCTTAGCAGTGTCCAGATGTATCATCAAAGAGAGCTCCAGCAGGTGCACTCGGAAAGATGCAGCAACCAGGGTTGCCTCAGAAAAGATTCTTGAGCAAGTGGTCTTTCAGCTTTGAGCCAACAAAGATGGCCAAACTGTTTCTGAATTCAGAGCAGAGCAAACTTAGAAGAGCAATTTCAGCTAATAGCAAAGCAATTCTTTATTTCAACCCTTTCTCCTAATTTCCTGTTGTTTACATTAGTCTGCTGTGCTTGTAGATTTCAATTTTAGGAGACTCATGCAAAATCTCATGGACTCTGGACAACATACTGATTAGGGAAGCAAAAACATTCCTCCTTATCTTCATTTTGTTCTAAGGTAGCAGACTCAGTGCAAATTCTTACTGAATCTACTTTGGTTGCAAACACCATGCATTCACTATGGGAGCTGCTACAGCTGCAAACACAATGGACTTTTCTGTAGGCTCTGCTCTTCATGCAGATAACATGGGATTTAATACAGTTTCACTTTTTTACTCTGCAATGCCCTCTAAAGGACATCCAGTATATTGCTACTTGAACTGTTTCTTTTTTATATTCGCGAAGGCTTTCACGGCCGGGATCTAATGGTTGTTGTGGGTTTTTCGGGCTTCTTAGCCGTGTTCTGAAGGTGGTTCTTCCTAACGTTTCGCCAGTCTCTGTGGCCGGCATCTTCAGAGGACAGCAGCCTGTGCTCTGGGTAAGGCTTGAGAGTGGAGTATTTATGGCACAGTCTGGTTCCGATATGTGGATGACAGTTTCTTTTTTCTTCTTTTATTTTTAAGGTTACATCTATCTGTCCTGAAGTAATCTCTACCAGGCAGTTCATTACTGTTCAGACTTCCATAGTATAATCACATTTCACATTTCCAAGGTTACATTTCTTATGCCCTTAATCATATAATGCTTTATTTATACAAATTTAAAACTTTAACAGTCAGTTCCTCCTAGTCAGGTGAGCATGAGGAAGTTTTGTTTGTAGGTTGTCTCTGTTGCTTAATAGTTCAATTTTGCAACCTTGACAGTGGAACATGCTGCCAGTCTCTTGCTTCAACCAGGCCCTTAGTTACTATATGCTGTATTAGCCAATAAGTCAATGGAACCTCCCCCCCACACACATATGCTTATGAAGCCGAGGCAGTTGTGATGATGGGCCCGATAAGGTACTGCTTGTGTGGCATCCACAAAGGCAATGTTTTCACATGTGCCTAGTGTCAACTTTACAGGGTGTGACATTTGCCCCTTTGTGGACCCTGTTTGTCTCCCCAAAACAGAGAGGTCACAAAGGCAACCCCCAAAAAACACCTTTTCACATGCTGCCACCAGTTGATTTCTTTATCAACGTACAGTACTTTACTTAGGAAAGAGAAAGGTCCATTCATCACTGTCTTTTGAATAAAAGGTTTATTGATTACAAATGTTTCTTTAATAATTCTTTAATAAGTATTTTCTTCAGGTTCATCAAGCATCAATAACAATCTTCTATATTATCTTACAGGTTACTATTCACTCCTCAGACTAATCACTCCTCAGATTCCCAAACTAACTCTCTCCCTTCAAACTCAGATCTAAACTGTAAAAACGAAACTCCTCCTCTCTGGCTCTGCCTTTTAACATCTCTAGTGGCCCCACCTCTCAACCACATCATCATAAAACATGAATAATGCATGGCTTTTTGCATAACAAGGGGTGAATGCCACACAGTGGAACTAAAGAACTTTGACCCATGATTTGAGGAGGCATGGACAAAGGTCACAGGAAGAGGTGTTGCCCTCTTAGATTATCTACAGCAGGTCTGGTTCACATATGCATGTTGAACTACCTGGACTCTCTTCACTTGATGAGTTGAAGCTGGCTGTGTGACTCCAAGAAAAATATGAGGTGAACATTCTAACTATGATGTCTCAATCTATGATGGATGGTTCATATGTGCACAATCATTGCTTGATGTAGCAGTCATCAAGTGACATATCTGCCCTTGTAATGTCACCTAGTTCTCAACTGGCTGTTTCTTGAAGTGGTTGAGAATGCATAAATGCAATAAAAATGGGTCACATTTGTGAATGGATTCATTAGTTTGTTTAAAACCATTTGTACCCTACTTTCTGGGATCAGTTGGTGCTTCTAAAGATGCTTGCAACAATAACCAATAAAGAAAGTATATTAAAACACAAATAAAGAGAATATCGTGACTAATGAAAGTAACAAAAGAGGGTCCAAATTAAAACTAGTATGAGCTAAAATCCTCCCAGTGCAGAAAGGTGACAACTTTGAATGAAAAACCTCCTGGCGCAGCTCTATAGCCTCTGTGAAATAATGGAGATAGCTTGGTCAGCTGATCATGCCAATTAGCCTTCAAAGACTGGAACATTTTGTTTCATATCCTTTAATATTCTTGTCTGTACATCTGTAGAGATGAAGAATGCTTCCCTTGCAATGAAGAGCAGACAACAAGTTCTTAATGAGGTCAACAAGCGGAGGACCCTATTGCAAGATAACAGCTGGATAAAAAAAAGACCTGAAGAAGAACAGTAAGGAGAGATCTCATCCTGGCTTTGGGCAATATAGGACATACAGTACAAATGTTCCTAGAATTATTATATAAATCCATGTTGCTCACCCCATTCCACCCATTGCTCTCTTGCAAATACAGGTGCAACGTGCTGAGGTTCCTTGCTAATCTCAGTGAAACTAAAGGGCCAGGAATGGTGGCCTCTCAGAGGGCTTACCCACTGCCCTCTTTGGGCATCCCAGGCAGGCAGAAAAACAGGAAGTTTATAGAATTTCTCGAGGAGCATTATACATTGCTGATATATAAGCTTTGTTGGATTGGAAATTGTTCAGTCACCATAAAAAATTCTAAATATTCCTGCAAGATTCCTACACTGTGTGCTTTTTCATCATCTAATTCATCTGCTTCCTCTGCCTCCACCAGCTTTCAGCAGAAAGGGTACCTTGTGTCCCGTGGAGCCTCTTGCCTCTGATGTTAACGGAGCAGTGAATCAGTTCAGGTTTTAGTTCTGACTTATTGGAAAATCAGAGGTGCTGAACCTTGTCCCCCAAACAGGTTCAATAACTTGAATAGCTCCTTCAATGTTTATACCAAAATATGGAGTGGATTCACTGCTGTACTGCTATCAGAATTACCAGCCTCCACTGATTGTATCCATGTTTTATTAAGGTAAAGGTAAAGGTTCCCCTTGACAATATTTGTCCAGTCGTGTTCGACTCTAGGGGGCGGTGCTCATCCCCGTTTCCAAGCCATAGAGCCAGCGTTTTTGTCCGAAGACAATCTTCCGTGGTCACATGGCCAGTGCGACTTAGACACGGAACGCTGTTACCTTCCCACTGAGGTGGTCCCTATTTATCTACTTGCATTTGCATGCTTTCGAACCGCTTGGTTGGCGGGAGCTGGGACAAAGCGACAGGAACTCACTCCGTCGCGTGGATTCGATCTTACGACTGCTGGTCTTCTGACCCTGCAGCACAGGCTTCTGCGGTTTAGCCCACAGCACCACCACGTCCGCCCATGTTTTATTAAAGAGGAACAAAAACTATTTTAAAAAACACTGAGAAAAAAAATATTCCGAAGCATATAGATACCAATTACAAGCAACCTAAGGCGGTGTTTCCTAACGTGCAGGCTTCTCTTGTTCAGCCAGTCTGGTAACCTGCTTCCAATGGTGGTCAACCAAGTGCTATGACAAAACCTACAAGCAAAGCATTAAAACAAAGTTATTCCACCACACAGTTACTTTATGGGACTGTAATTCCCAGAATCCCCAAGTCACTATGTTGTGACCCATGTTGGCTGGAGGATTCTGAGGTTTTGGTCCCCAAAGTGACTTTTCAAGCTCTTGGTCCATTTAGAAATCTGAACTAATAATACCCTCTTTAACTAAGAAAATATGCAACCTCTTCCCTTTGATTGCATAGGTTTCTCTGGTATTTGAATCGTTGACCCAAAGAAAGCTGTGTACCTCTAGACTAACAGGTTCTCATTAAACGACACACCATGGTGTTAGTCCCTGCAGCAGCTGAAACAATCCCAGCCATCCAGTTCACAGAGGAGTAGGAGGAGACAGGTTACCACAGGGTGTGGGTGGGGACGTGTCGGTTTGTGGCAAATCTTGACAAAACTTCTCCTGGGGCTGGCAGTGCAGATCAAAGGAAAAGATCAAAGTTCCACAGAACATCTTTACAGTAAGTAACTAGGAGAGGGAATGTTTCACAATGCTTCAGAAAAAGTTTGCTATGTGTTAGCTTCTTGCAAGGTGTGGAAACTTCACAGGATTTTACTCCAGATGGCAGGGTCATTATAGCTAAGCATGTGAAGGTGAGATCTGGAATGCATTTGTTCACTCTTCTTCACCCACAAGGCTTTTGTTATATCCAGTCTGTTTCCCTCAACCATGAGCTGAACTTAGTGCTTTCCAGATGGTGCTCCAGGTGTTATGGAGTCTAGTAGCCTGCTTACATTGGTGGTCAACCAGCTACTATGACAAATCCCGCAAGCAGGCTAAAAACTCAATAAAAGCAGAGAAGCATATGTGGAAAATAGCTGCTCCTGCCCCAAATTAACCATCTCCTCACTCCATGCAATGTGTAGTTACAGTGTAATGGTGAAGCCTGTTAGCGATTGTTGTTGTATGTGAACAGAACGAACAGAATATAAATATACAATACGAAGATTGTGTAAAATATTTTCTTTATTGCAGTGCCGATGAAAATTATGGCCGAATGGTCCTTAATCAGTACAAATCACAAGATGGCTTACACAGGTACGAGCATAGGTTAATTTGGGCAACTCCCTTTCCCAGAGTTGTTTTAATACTGCAGGGTCCAGTTTGATTGGCTGAGCATTAACTCAAATGTCAGTATGTTGTGTTTATTTGATTGTAATACTACATTTCTCCTGCAAACTGAGTCCAAGTCATGAAGCCTTGTATACACATTGGTGATATAACCCCACGTCAAGTTTTACAAGGGTCTTGATCCACCCACTGCTTCTTAAAAGACTCAGAAATGTTGAAATACTGATTTGCAACATACAACATCTTCAATGAATTTAGTAGCCAAAACCAGGTTATTGTTATTGTTTTTGTTTGTTTTTTGGTTTAGAAGATGGGGAATATTAAAAACAAATGTCATTCTCAGAACTTTTGCTTGCTCATTAAATGGGATTTGCAAGTCCAAATATACTTGCCTATTAAAGTGGCATTATCTTAGCTTTGTGTATTGCTTTCACATGGATTATAACATTAAAAATGAGTTATTATATTTGTTTCAGTAATGAAAGCATTAAATGAGTGACCATCATGGTGAATTAAAAATGTATTAAATTGGATTAAATGGAGAAGATAACTATGAAAGTATATTTACTACTTAGGATATGGATTAGAACCAGAATTCCACCAGAGGAGACCTCCTGAAAGCAATGAGGCTCTGTTTAGTTACGACTTATAACAAAAGTACCATTAATTTCAATTCATCTCTTCTAAGTCTGGCTAAGCCTGGATCCAACTCATGACATAAATTTGTTGGGCACATGAAGACATTATAGATAATTGTTTGCACTCTTGTGCTGAGATACTGGGATATTTTAATGTATTCCTGACTGTTCAAGATCAATTGTTATATGACTTGTGTATCAGCTGGGAGATCTGTTTTGAGTGACTGACAGTCTTATTTAATTAAAGTTGTTACATTCCTTGCTTGCTATAATTAATTAATTTTTCCCAATGACAGGGACACAAATGAAAAGGATGATCAGAAAGCTTTGCTTAGCCGTTACAGATCTGATACTACTTTAGACAGGTAAAGTTTTTGTATGGATTATTTTGATGAGTTTGCATTATATAATATAAAATCAGGCTTCCTTTTGCCATCAAACAATATTGACATTAACAGACTCACAATTAATGATTTGTCTCATTTTAATTTACTGCATTTGGAGGTTTTATTGGGTTTTGACCATTTTTCATGATTATAATTAGTTTTCTGAAATTTAAAACTAATCTGCTATTAACCTATTGTTAAGAATTAATATAGCTGTAATAATTAAGCTAGGGACGTGGTGGTGCTGCGGGTTAAACCACAGAAGCCTCTGTGCTGCAAGGTCGGAAGACCAGCAGTCATAAGATTAAATCCAGGCAGCAGAGAGAGCTCCCGTCGCTTGTCCCAGCTCCTGTCAACCTAGTAGTTTGAAAGCATGCAAATGTGAGTAGATAAATAGGTACCACCACAGTGGGAAGGTAATGGCATCCCATGTCTGGTCATGCTGGCCATGTGACCATGGAAATTGTCTATGGACAAACGCTGGCTCTACGGCTTGGAAACGGGGATGAGCACTGCGCCCTACAGTTGGACACGACTGGACTAAATGTCAAGGGGAACCTTTATCTTTACTTTAATAATTAACAATTAATGTGTTAGTTTTCACTAAAGTGATTAATGCTAATGGATTAATTTCAAAATCAATATTTTCTATCAATTAGCTGTGACCCAAAAGATTTCTCAACTTTGACACCTAAGTCCTTGGCATGCTTGTTCAGAAATACTAATTCCTAGTTAAATATGCATTAGGATTGCTTTAGTTATCTGCTTAGTTCCGCCTCTGACAGCAGGAATCTCGTACCTGCTTTTCACCAAAGGTTAGGAAAAGGTGGTAGTGGTTGTTTTGCTTTGTGGCAATGCTTTAACAGTCCATAAAGCCCAGGATGGAAAGGATGTGTTTTTTCTATAATGCAAATCTCATGGATTAATTAAATTGATGCAAAGCACAGTTACTATAGCTTCTTTGGTTTGATGTAATGGCTGTAAACCTCCCAACTGTGTCCCAGAAGGAATTGTATGGGAATGACCATCTTCAGATCATGTTGCTCTTCAAAAGCCACTGTGTGGGCAGAGGAGAATGATGTAGTCTATATGGAGTGGTAAGGGATTTCTTTAATTGCAGAGGCATTTTACTGCTTCATTAAAGGACCTGTCAGACTATTTGATGTTTTCTGCTGCTATGCAATACTCACTTTAAAAAGAAACACAATAATCTCAGGATGTTTAATAATTTATTGCTTTTTAAAAAGGTAATTAAAACAGCTCATTCAGCAAGCTTAAAAAAGTGGGGTTTTTTTTCCCGAATAAGCAATAACATTATATTGAGTCAGCCAGAATTCTGTTCAGTTCTCATTATGACTGTACAATTGCATGTGGCAGCCTCTCCAAGATTTTGCTACTTTGCTAGGAAATATTAGACACTGACGCTTTTATTCAGGTTATTTTTTTAAAAAGACAAAAGCTAGTTTTCAACTGTTACTGAAAACTCACTTTGCTTTTTCTAAATTCTAAAGGATTCCTGGCAGAGATGATGCTGACAAAGGAAATCAGCTCCCCTCCTTAGATAGCCAGTCAAGTAAAAGGTACGTGTGAGCAAAAAAGAGATATCATTTTAGAGAGAAAACCATTTTAGGCAGAAGTCAAATGAGTCCTTTCCCTGGAACCATCATTTCTTCCTGGGAGCCGCAGATTCTGACATAAGAATTAACACAGGGACACCAACCTGTGAAATACAGAACTTCAAGCAGTATTGATGTTGCATTGGAACTAGTCATGTGGGAAAGCCAGCCATGCCACAAAGACAACCATTGAATTAGGCCTTAATGAAGAAGTGAATGGGTCATTTCTTGTATTATTAGCAATAACTTATTTGATTCTCAGCGCTTGGCACATGAACTATAGTTTGAACATATTAATAAATAATGGTTTATCATGATAACAGCTTGTCTAGGTGAGCCTCATGCACTCCCTCTTCTTCTGTAGTGTGGTCATGTGGAAGGCATCAAAAGCTTTCACTGCTGTTTTTAATAAGCCGCAATTTGATTTTGTATACAGTGGGGTCTCAACTTACGAATGGCTCTACATACGAACGTTTCGACTTACGAACCGCTCTCATAGGAATATATGGACTTGACTTGTGAACTTCGAGTTACGAACTCTTTTTTTCCCTTTTTTTAAAGCTAAGTCATCTTAGGTTAAAAGGAAAAAAGAAAAAATATCCTCCTCTAGTGGCAGAAGGCGGAATACCAGCTTCCCATTAGTTTCTATGGACGAATAGAGCAGATACGGATTAAATGGTTTTCAATGCATTCCTATGGGAAATGAAGATTCGACTTACGAACTTTTCGACCTGAGAACTGCCTTCCAATACGGATTAAGTTCGTAAGTCAAGACCCCACTGTACAAGCCAAAACAAATTATGATTAGCTTTAACAATGAACTCAGATATTGCAACTTCAAACCATAGTTTATGAAGCTAGTTTGTTTCAACAAACCATAGTTAAGACTAACATGATATTTTTGTTCTGTTTTTTAATTTTGGTTAATTGAAAATATAAGTGACAGGACAACGGCACCATGTCATTACAAGACATGGGAAGTCCATGATACCTTCTTTGTCCCAGTCTGACCCTCTTGGCTGCTTATGTGGTGCAAGCCTAGGGGGCTTGCTGAGAATACAAGTGGTGTGTGCGAACCTCTTATTTAGGGAATGGCTTGGCATCCTGTGGCATATATGTTTCAAGGTACAGAGAAAGAGGCCTAGAACCTTGTACAGTCATATGTACATCTCTCTGCACAGGCAGTTGCACTTATGTGGTGATAAACTGTTAGCTTGCCCAGAATTGAAGAAAATTGCATTGAATCTGACTATTGCAAGAATTTTTTTTATCTTGCAAGGATTGTTGCAACTGTTGCACTTGTGAGGATTACAGTTTTGAGAATTAGGGGGCATTGCTGAAAAATCAAATGTTCACGAAACGATATGAAAAACTTAAGTGAATGGTTAAAAATGAAAAATTACATACAAACATGATTTTGTCAGTAGGGAAAGTGTGTCAGGGGATCAATACATAGATGAATACATTAGGAAGAATGGACAAAAACATACAAAAATTCTATGAAGATACAGTCTCACAACTCAGCATGGGAAGGGGATGGAGAGAAAAAGCTGGTGTTTTTCAGTGAAATGCAGTGGAATTAAGATGGATTTTAATATCTCTAGCCTCCACCCCACCCCACCCTGCAAAAAAAAAAAAACTATGGGAAATTTAAATCTCAATACCAATATAATTATTTTGAGTCAGATACCCAACACCATCATGAATTGATTACTCAGAACCTACAACATCTTCTATAATTTCAGGACTCCAGTTAGCCATCCTTGTTATTGTTAGAATTATTTATATTTGTTTCTCATGTGCACAAATTATATTTTTCCACAGTGCCTTTAAAAAAAATTTAAAATTCCAGTCAAAACATAATAATGCAACATGCTACAGCATACCTAACTAATTAACACTAGAGAAGGCACAATGAAAACAGATGTTTTCTATAAATGCCTAAACATATCAGCATGAGGTCTGCTATACTGCAGACAGACCATTCCAGAAAGTGGGGGGGGGGCAACTCAGAGGTGTTACTTTGCTAGTAATACACAGTTTTTTTAAAATGCAGCCTTAAGGCTAGAGCACATGCTAGAGCCCATACCTCCCAAATGACACTGGGGAAGGCTATTATAGTCATTAGGAAGTCCAGCCGCATGTCTTTGGGATGAATGAAGCATGTTTTCCCCTTAATGTATAGGTGCATTGTACAGAGACTTTTTCGTAAAGGTTAAGTTCGTCAGATTCATTTCACAGATTTATTTTAGTATGAGCTTTTGTGGTTTACAATCCACTTCTTCAGTCACACATTTAAGCCCTGAATTTAAGTACCCAAGGCATATGTGTGAGCGCTGCCACCCTTACTGAGTGCTGGGGCGGTCTGCAACCCCTCCTCAATCATTATATCCGTGGGCTCCAGACTGGAATGTTGAAAGAACTCCATTTTTATTGAACATTCGTCAGAGGGTACAGCAGAATTTCTGACACCAAAAACCCTCTCCCTTCCTATTTGTTGCCTAGTGGACTATTTTCTGTCACTAGTCCCTCCAATAATCTTCCATTGAAGATTATTGAAACAAACAAAAACCACAGAGTAGCCAAGATTTGCTAAAGCTGCCCATGGCTCACAGAGAGAGCTTGGAAAGGTGAGTCACCATTAATCCTGGGGTTTTACTGACTTCTGCTGTAGGCGCTGCAGACACTCCCACTGTTGCTGGCATCTCCACTACCTTTTCTGAGTTGGAGTTGGCTCTTCCAGCAGATGAGGTAGTCTTTGATGGCAGCTTGAGCATGGCAGCATCTGTTGAGAGATTCCGCCCATGGCATGAGTTCCCCCTCTTCCTCCGGGTACCCAGAGAGCAAGCAGGATTCTGGACCAGGGTCCCACTTGTACATGCATTTGTATATGTTCTTTGCTGAGAAGGCCAGCACCAGATCTTCCAGCCCATCACCCCAGGCCTCCTCCTGCCCCAAATCACTGGTATCCAACGCCTTTCCCTCTTTTCTCCCAGCCTCCTCTGACCCTGTTCAAGTCTCCCCTCAACCCCTGTCACTTCCAGCTTTATTGTCCACAACTGTCTGCACAGCAGAGCACAGCTTCCTTCCTCAGGTGTTCTCCTCATTGCCTTTGCCTGTCTCCTTCCCCTGGGCAAGACAAGAGGTCCCAGGAATCACCTGACATCTGGTGGTCTCAGTGTCTGGCAGGCCTTCCAGGGGGCATCAAGTGAGATCAGATGGCCTGGTGGTGACCTCCTCACAAAATGAAATAGGATGCAGATATAGATAATAGACTTCCAAAGAACTGTTATTATGTAAAAATCTCGCCGACAAGTAGAATAACTTGATCATTAAACAACTAAGTTGGTTAATAAAACTCTATTGCCAGGATGCGTACAAAATCAACATTTCAAACGTTCATTATCTGTGTTAACAATGCTACTATGAGCATGAATTGTGTCTGTATTCCTGTTCACTTAGAACGAATGATCTGTAAATCAGTGGTCAGGGAACAGGGGTAAATTACCCCAAATGGGGTAAAAATGAAAATCCTGGAGGTAATGAGGACGTGGCCCTAACCTCTTTCCCTCCTCCTCTTCCTCCTCTTCTGCCCGGAGGGGGGTCCTCGGCTGTCTGATCGCCCCCTTTCCGCCCCCTTCTCCAGCCCGGCTGCAACCGAGCCACGGTGGATGGTGGCAGGCAACAGGCCCCAGTTGGCCAGCCATGGCAGAGGGCAAGGCCGGATTGAGTGACCAGAGTGCCCATACCAGAAGGAGCCTCTCCTTCCTGTGCCTGGAGAGGTGAATCATGGGGGAGGGGGGCAGGCATGGTCACAACAGCGGCCCAGGCCAGGCTCAGCCTCCTGGTGCCGGGACACCATCCCACGCCCCATCACCATCTGAGCCTGTCAGGTGGCAGCGACGCTCGCCTGGCCACGCAGCTTCCTTTGATGGCACATCCACACCAGTCATCCAGGCCTGGTAGAGCCTCTTGCTGCAGCTGCCATGGGGTTAGATGGCGAGGCCCACAGGAGCCCTGATGCTGAGTCCCAACGCGGCTGCCCCGACAAGCAGCCACTGGAGCTGGTGCCGGAGTGGGAGGTGGCTGCAGGAGCCACCTGCCAGTGGAGAAAGGGAGCCGCCCCCATGGGGTGAAGGACTGAGTGTGGCCCCGCCAGGTGGAGGAGGAGGAGGAGGAGGCCCGGGCGTGGGTGGCAAGGCCTCAGGAGCAGCACTTGACTGTCCACATGTGACCGAGATCCTTCCTTTCAAATCAAGGGGGCAATGTCAGCGTATATACATTTTTAGGGGGTAAAAGGTAAAAACGTTCCCTGACCCCTGATTTAAATCTTAGTAGTAATAATGTTTCCTTTACTTTTTAATAGTGACAATATTGAAACAGCACTAATATGTATGAGAGAAGCCAAAGTTAATCATTGTAATGATAATAATAATCATGAGCTAGCAATTCAATTCTGATGTATTTCAGGGTTTTCCAAGTAGAAATGGTTTACCATTCTCTCATTCTCCCTGGGGACTGTGCAGCTTGTCCAAGGCCACACGGGTTGGCTCTTCTCCCAGGAGGCACAGTGAGGAATCGAACTCCAATCTCTGGCTTTGCAGCCAAGATACCTAAACCACTGAGCTATTCAACAAGCAATCATTGTAATAACCCTGCTAAAATCCAGTTCCTTTGACAAGAGCTAGTGTGAGAACCAAATTATAGACTTTACTAATGCTGTATCTCCAATTCCCTTTGAACAGTTTATTTATTCATGATGTCAACAGTTGAAGTATATAATTAATTACCTAAAAAGAAAGGATAATTGGATGGTAGTCATGTAGCCATGATACTGTAATACTTGATTTTATCTCTGACTTAAAAATAAATCTGAAAATACCAAAATTTGCTTTTCTCCCTCCAGCAACGAGCTGGATGTATTTGTCAACACTGGCAATACCACATCACCTGTAAAGAAGAAAAGGTATCTGAGGCTATTTTCATTTTTACTGTCAGAGAACTTGGGGGCCTTATATGTGCATATTTTTGTTGTTGTTTAGTCATTAACTCAAGTCCGACTCTTTGTGACCCCATGGACCAGAGTACGCCACGCCCTCCTGTCTTCCACTACCTCCCGGAGTTGGGTCAAATTCATCTTGGTAGCTTTGATGACACTGTCCATCCATCTCGTCCT